GTCCAGAAGTAAATTACTTAGGACACATAATTAGCAAAGAAGGATTAAAGCCAGACCCAGCTAAATTAGCTGCAGTCAAAAATTTTCCAATTCCAAAGAAACAGAAGAATATTCGTTCATTCTTGGGTTTAACAGGATATTATAGACGATTCATAAAAAAAATTTCAAAAATTGCAAAACTTCTCACAAAGTTACTTAAAAATGATGTAGAATTCAAATGGTCTCAAGAAGCGTCAGAAGCTTTCGAGATTTTGAAAGAAGCTTTATGCACTGCTCCTATTTTACAATATCCAGATTTTGCAAAACCCTTCATTATTACTACTGATGCCTCAGACATTGCCATTGGTGCAGTACTATCTCAAGGAGAAATTGGGAAAAATAAACCCATTGCTTATTTCTCTAGAGTTTTAAGGGGAGCAGAGCTTAGANAAATTTATACTCCCACAAAAACTGAATGGCAACTACAAGGAGAATTAGGCAAAATGTTCCAAAAATCAGAAAAAACTGTCGTTAATTTTACAAGCAGATTAAGGAAAAAAGGTCAAGAAATTGTAGAAGCTTATAAAATCAATAATCCTACTGCGACAGCGGCCCAACTTACTGAATGGAAATCATAAAATTCACAATCATAATGATCGAAATAATTCAAAAAATTTTCAAAATCCAAATTTTAAACCTATTCCTGGAATGATTTGTCAAANTGTGCAGTATAAACCGGGGAAGATAAATTTAAATGCAGATGCGTTATCACGTAATCCTGTAGAATTAGTCAATGTGACTACTCGAGCACAAAATAAAAAAGGTAAAATTCCTCTTTCTCCTGAATTACAAGAAATCTTAGATATCTTACAAGAACCTGATGATAAGAGTGAAAATCCCTTTAAAAATAAAAATAGTGAAATTCCATATTCAATTCAAAATAAAAATGGTGAAATTCCATGTTCTATTCAAAATAAAAATGGTAAAATTCCATGTGCTATGAAAAATAAAATCGGTAAAATTCCGAATAATACTGGAGTTAAAAATAAAAGAGGTAGATCACCGAAACGAGTGCCAAACTCAGTAGGTGAAATTCTCAATAATATTGAAATTAAAAAGAAAAGGGGTAGACCACCGAAACGAGTATCGATCTCAGTAGGTGAAATTCCTCAAAATTTAGAAACGGTCGACGAGGAGATATTTGGAACTCATTCTAACCCGAGTGACCCACGCTCCGTAGACTCTTCATTTTCTCAATTTAATGATTCACTCAATAATAGTCAAATTGAAAGTAATGATTCTGACTTAGAATCTGAAAATTTAATTGTTACTAAAAATGCGAATAATAAAAATAAATTTCAAGTTCAAAAATCAAATATAATTTCTTCTAAAGAATTATTCATTTATTGAAAAGATAATTTATTATATTTCCTATCCGAAGAGGGTGAACCTCTCGATGAAGGAGTGTAAGAATTGAAAAAAATCAATAAGTTGCCTACTATTAAAGCTACAAGCTTAGGTGGGATTTATAAGCAAAGAATTGGAAAAAGAAGTCACTGTGCTTCTATTATAAAAAAATTCAATGGAGAATCAAATCTCTTAATAAAAGAATATATTATTGAAAGTTTAAATAACTTGAAAGAAATTTTACAAAATGAAAAAATTGAAACAATTTCAATATCATATTCAAAATTTATTTGCAACATCCCTTGGCAAGAAATTATTTCTTTAATTGAAGAAGCTTTCAAAGAAAGTCAAGTAAAAATCATAATTTGTCTTGGTACTATTAAGTACGTTCCTATTGAAGAGAGAGATAAAATCTTCCATGAAATGCATCATTCTCCAATTGGAGGACATAAAGGAGTTTCCAAAACTTATAATAGAATTAAACACAACTTTTATTGGGAAAATTTAAAAGACGATATTCAAAGAAGAATTCAACAATGTTTAGATTGTCAATTGAAAAAATTAGTTCGCGTAAAAACTAAGCAACCAATGTTAATTACCGATACACCAGGAACAGTTTTTGAAAAGGTAGCAATGGACATTGTTGGTCCAATGCCTAAAACAGTAAATGATAAAGAATACATTTTAACAATTCAAGATCAATTATCCAAATTTTCAATGGCGATTCCATTACAAAATATGAAAGCGGAAACAGTCGCCGATAATTTTATAAAAAGATTTGTATGTATCTACGGGGCACCGAAAGTATTGTTAACCGATCAAGGTACGAATTTTCTTAGCGCTTTTATGCGAAAAATTACGACAAGATTTCGAATAAAAAAATTACAAACTACTGCATTTCATCCACAATCGAATGGATCTTTAGAACGTTCACATCATGTATTAGGTGAATATTTGAAACAATACNGACATTGTTGGTCCAATGCCTAAAACAGTAAATGATAAAGAATACATTTTAACAATTCAAGATCAATTATCCAAATTTTCAATGGCGATTCCATTACAAAATATGAACGCGGAAACAGTTGCCGATAATTTTATAAAAAGATTTGTATGTACCTACGGGGCACCGAAAGTATTGTTAACCGATCAAGGTACGAATTTTCTTAGCGCTTCTATGCGAAGAATTACGAAAAGATTTCGAATAAAAAAATTACAAACTACTGCATTTCATCCACAATCGAATGGAACTTTAGAACATTCACATCATGTATTAGGTGAATATTTGAAACAATACACGGATAAAGATAAAGAATGGGATGAATGGATTGATTTAGCTATGTTATCCTATAATATGTAACGAGATTTTCTCGTTACGGATTGAAATCCCCTTAAAAAGAGACGTGAACTCTAAAATTGAGACATGAGGCGACATCTAGAGGCGGCTGAAGAAAGCCGCGACTAGATGAACTGAGCGACAAACCGATGAAAGACCTAAGGCATAGCGGTTATGGGTGAAACCGCGACCCCTGGAGGTCTGGAGGACGTTACTAGACTATCGCTATTTTGGAATTCGCCCAGCATGTGCTAGGGGAAAAGGGGCCGACGTACAGGCTGTCCAACTGGGCGATTCCATAGGCTATGTCAGAGTAGACTAGGGACCAACGGCCAGGTGAGAGGACTGGTGCCCCCGGGATCCCGTCGGGTTGATTGGTGGGGATAGGGTAACGGAATGACCTATCGTCGCTGAGATATCCAGACTAGGGGGAGAAGGCCCTAGTAAGATTCTGAGTTAGTCGAACGCGGACACTCGAGCGGGGAAGTCGAAAGGATTTCTCCGATATATACTGTGGTGTTGGCTTGAAAGATGGCCACGGAAATGGTGGGCGAATAGCTCAGCGCAGCCAGGTGCATAACTGATGGTAGCGAGCGTAGGGGGATGCTCCTGCATCCCCCACAAACGGAAAAAAAGTTATTTCGGAACTCTTAGTGACGACTTTGTTGTTTCCGGCGTTATCTGGCTCCGCGAAACAAATGTCGTGCGCATGGGCCCGTGGGTCTGGAGTAGAGATCGTCCTCCTGTCGACCCGACCATGTGCCGACATTCGAGTACCCGGAGACGGTAACGTACGATGACCGAAGCGGTAACTGGTGGCCGAGAGCGTGGGTGGTCGTGAAGTGGGTAGCAGTGTTCCACTTTGGTCGGATCAGCCTCTCGGCGTCCCAGGCTCTGAGGAGTCCCGGCTGATTCGCATCTAATTCTGAAAACACTTCCGAGTCGAAATACTCGGGAGGCGATAATCTACTGAGAGGGTGAAAAACCCTCCAGGATGAGAGTAGATTCACTTTACATGGGGGATTAGGCCGTGAGGCTTGATGTCCAGCCTGAAACAGTGGCTGGCGACGTTTGGCATACGATACTGCTGGTGGACCTCGCCCACTCTACCGTGTCACACTGATGCTAGCTGGGCAACCCTTTTTGCCCGGCCACAGAAGTCCTCTGAGTGGACGAGTTTGCCTCAGAGGCCGGTTTTCGTCGAACCTCCCGTGAAGGTTCGGCTGGCACCCGACGGCAATGTAGTAGAAAGAAAATCCTGAAAAGGGGTAAGTAGAAAATTATCGCATAGATAATACGAGGAGAATCGAGAAAATTGATTCCCCTCGAATGTAACGAATTTTATTTATTCCTTGAAAAGGGAAAAATAGAATTCGAAATGCACGAAATTTTTGTCAAGGGGAGATTTTCTCAGAAACTCGATGTTCTGTCTCCTCGACACCCGGGGGAGATGGCCTTGAAAGGACGAGTTTGTTTTCCCCGACGAAAATCCGAAAGTATCGATTTTTCGCTTTAGAGGGGTTGTTCCGGCTGCTCTGGGTGCTGTTCTCCTCGCTACCCGGAGGAGGATGGCTTCAGGTGCGGGGCATTTCCTTCCTTCGTCCGATAAATCGAAGAAAGTGAGTGAAAAATAGAGAAAATTCTGCAAAATTGAATTTTCCACTCATAAATGTGCCAAAAATGCTGAAAGAAGCATTCACCGACGCCCGGTAAAGAAAACTATTCTGAAAAGAATAGCATTACCGACTGTAGGTGTCGGAAGTACAGGTTCCGCCCGCGAGGGTGAGCCACGTGACAGACAAGTCGCGCGGAAAAACGAAATTGACACCTCTGATTGATATCAATCAAGGGTGTGCAAAAGGACTACCTAAATATGGAAATTTAGGTCGGAGTCTAGGTCACCAGGGGGGACCACCGGCGGCGATTAATCAAATTGATACGCGCCCTAATCCCCCCACCCCCAACACCTGTGAAATTGGGGGAAATGACCACGGGAAGCGTCCTTTCCCCTCTTGACCGCGTACGCGACAAGACGTGTGAATTATCGACGCTCCCCGGAGACAATTACAGCGAGAAGTAGCACACGTCGTGAAATACCTGTGAGTGATGCAGGACAATACCCTGGATGAACTGGTGCAGAAGGTGGTGAAAACTGCCGAAGGAGCCCACAAAGGTAAGACGGACTCTCCGGAGTCCGAAGCGAACCTCCAGGGTGCAAAACCCCTGGCAGGAGAGGGAGCGGATGACTCCTCAGTACCGCAAGGCACTGAGGAAACCGCCTCGTTTGATTTTACGTCCCTTTCTATTACAGATCGGGACCTGACGGAGGCAGAGCAGGCCGAGATGGCCTTGCTGATGACCATAGGCGAGCAGGGTGAAATTCCCTCCCCTGAGTTCGAGCCTCTGGAGGCGGTGTCGCAAGTGGTAGAGATTACCACGACCGCTCCGTCTCCAGTCGCAGAGGCCACCCGGGCGAAAACCCCGGAGGAGAAAGACGCTTTGGCGAGGAGTTTGGCGGCCATTCAGGTCGAGCACCCCGAGTTGATGGCAACTATGTTTGCACAGTTGCCGCAATTCAACCCGGGGCCCTCCACGTCGGCTGTGTCGCCGCCTCCTCCCCAAGAGCAGATGGAGGTAGAGGACGAAAAGTCCTCCTACGCTTGGGTGACGAAGCACGGGCGAAAATCCCGTGAGCCGACCTCAAGTAGAAGGAACACCCCTGCAGCCCCAGCGCTGGTCCCTGAAGCCACGGAGAGGAGCTCCAAGGCCAAAGGGAAACTGCCGAAAGGCAGGAAGGAGAAGGGGGAGAAGACGCCAGGGCGAAAAACCCCTGAGAGGAGAGGCCCGGATGCTGAGGCGAGGAAGGTATACTCTCAGATGCTTCAGCACGGAGGGGAGGGAGCTACAGAGGCAGTTGGGGTGAAAATCCCCAAACGTAAGGCCTCTGAAGACGAGAGGATGGTCCAAAAGTCTCCCCCCGTCGACAGCACCCCGGATCCGGAGGAGACACGCAGGGCGGCCAAACCGCTCCCGATTCCCGCACGTCTGTGTTGGAATTGTAGGAGGGAGGGGNCTCCAGTCGCAGAGGCCACCCGGGCGAAAACCCCGGAGGAGAAAGACGCTTTGGCNAGGCGAGCAGGGTGAAATTCCCTCCCCTGAGTTCGAGCCTCTGGAGGCGGTGTCGCAAGTGGTAGAGATTACCACGACCGCTCCGTCTCCAGTCGCAGAGGCCACCCGGGCGAAAACCCCGGAGGAGAAAGACGCTTTGGCGAGGAGTTTGGCGGCCATTCAGGTCGAGCACCCCGAGTTGATGGCAACTATGTTTGCACAGTTGCCGCAATTCAACCCGGGGCCCTCCACGTCGGCTGTGTCGCCGCCTCCTCCCCAAGAGCAGATGGAGGTAGAGGACGAAAAGTCCTCCTACGCTTGGGTGACGAAGCACGGGCGAAAATCCCGTGAGCCGACCTCAAGTAGAAGGAACACCCCTGCAGCCCCAGCGCTGGTCCCTGAAGCCACGGAGAGGAGCTCCAAGGCCAAAGGGAAACTGCCGAAAGGCAGGAAGGAGAAGGGGGAGAAGACGCCAGGGCGAAAAACCCCTGAGAGGAGAGGCCCGGATGCTGAGGCGAGGAAGGTATACTCTCAGATGCTTCAGCACGGAGGGGAGGGAGCTACAGAGGCAGTTGGGGTGAAAATCCCCAAACGTAAGGCCTCTGAAGACGAGAGGATGGTCCAAAAGTCTCCCCCCGTCGACAGCACCCCGGATCCGGAGGAGACACGCAGGGCGGCCAAACCGCTCCCGATTCCCGCACGTCTGTGTTGGAATTGTAGGAGGGAGGGGCATGAGAGCAGAGAGTGTTCTGCCCCGTATCGGCCGCACTGCAAGAAGTGCGGAGTTCCGTGCCCTGGGCCGTACTATAAGTCCTGTGCTGAAAAGTGCTGAAAAGGACCCAGGGACCTTGGTGTCCGGCGTACGGACAGAACATCCCCAGGGCGGACTTGAGGAAGCTGCAAAAGCAGCTCAAGACGGAGAGGAGGGCTGAAACGACAGAGAGTGTCGCAACGCCCTCCCCCTGAGACCGCCTCGCGCACACCCAGGAGGAGGGCCGAGACACGCCCCCAGCCGAGGCGAAGGGAACGCCCCAGTTACGTGGTGCAGGGGGAACGACCCCAAAATCCCGCCGAGAGGGTTGAAAAACACCCCGCCGGGCAAATCCGGGAGTGGAGGGTCAGGCCCTGTAAACTCCGAAGAAGGGAGAGGAGGAACCTGGAACCAGCTGCGAAGCTCGCCCTCCAGGAGGACGCCGGCAAAGAGGGTGCAATCTCATCTGAGGCTAGGGGGAAAGCGGAGGAGGAAGCGATGGAAGAATGCCTCTAGGTAAGTGGGGTAAAAAACGCCACGGATGATTTTTGGGAAATTTTGTTTCCCAAAAATGAAAGAAAATCCTCGGTTTGGAAAATAACCAGGAAACAGGCACGTCGGTAAGCCCGCAAAAAGGCACAACCGACGAAGGTGAGGGGCGAAAGCCCCAAAACAAATAATTATTCACACATGCATGCAAATCGGGTAGTAGGCGCCATCTAGCGCCTCCCCGACCAAAGTCACAACTGTCGGTAACCCACCACAGTTGAATGGCAGTCGGTAAGGTAGGAATCTTCCTTGCCGACTGATGAAAATAGTACCGGTTGATGAGAAATGCCACTAGATGGCGCCACCTCAGTCGAAAAACACTGAAAATGCCGAGAAAGGTTCTCTTAGTTGGGAAAACACCCCCCAGTACCGCCAAAGGCGGGAAATGGAGTATTTTTCAAATACAGAAAGGAGAAAAGCCCAATAAAAGAGTGAGGAAGAGGGAAAAGTGCCTGCAAAGACATGAAATACCTCCAGAAATGTCCGTAAACGTCCGAAATGGCGGGAAAACATCGGGACAAAATAGATAATCGCCCAGAACTAGTGAGTTTTCGTTCAGAAATACTCACTAGATGATCCTGGGGATTTATAGGGATTTTTACTGGATAAGGAAAATTCCCCAAAGAGCCTCCAGAGTAGCCGCCGACCCAAAGAAGGGGGCGCCACATACTCGGAGAAGGAACAAGAGTAGGGAGGACCCCCCACTCTGTACTGCAGAGTATAAAAGGAGCTTCAGAGCTCCCAGAAAACTCTTTTCTGTCGTAAAGGCAGAGGTTGAATAACTCCTAACTTTACGGAAGACTCCCTGGGCTAGAAATGGCGCCAAAGAAGGATTTGCTGAATAAGCAAACGGAAGGGGGAGACTAGGAGAAAACCCCTGAGACCTCGGTAGGACCGAAAGGTTCAGAAATGGATCCCGAAAAGGGAGCCAAAAAGAAGACGCCGAGGACACGCACTGGAGGAGTGACGACCTCAGAAAGTAGTGGTGGAAAATCCGAGGCTGAAAAAGTCTCGAAATCAAAACCAGAGAAAAAGGGGCCGCTCTCGGAGGAGGAGAGGGCTAAAAGGCCGATCAGTCCGCTGGCGGCGGATTGGAGCCTTCCCTTGCCAAAAGACAGGCCAGGCCAAGGGGCCGAAAGGTCCTCAGAGGACCTAGCCTCGCGAATGGCAATACTGAGAATCTTCGCTGAGGAAGCGAAGAGGCTAGAAGAGCAGATCCGGACTTCAGGACTGGTCGGAGCTGCAGCCCCTCCCCGCAGAGGGCGAGGGAGACCGAAAGGCAGCAAAACCACTAGCCGAAATGCTAGTGGAGCTACGACGACGACGGAAGGAATTCCGGGCGTGACGGTAACAAACGCCACGCCAACGGCTGAGGAAATACTTGCTCAGGTGCAGAAACTGAGCAGGGAACTGAGGGGACATTTGGGGCCAGCGATGGCCAACCCTCAACAGAAGGTCTGAGAACCAGAGCCTGAGGTTCTGAGGCAGTCTCCCACAAATCCTCCAGGGCGAACAGCCCTAGGAAATGATTATGGGGGAAATGAAAGATACCCACGCCGCAGAGAGCGTCGTAGGCAAGCCTCCGAGTCAAGCACTACGAAGAGCGATTTTTACGGCCGCGAGGATTGTAGAAATCGTTATGAAAGCTCTGGCAAAACCCGGGATTATTTAACCAGGTGGGGCATATCGTTCTCTGGGCAACCAGATGAAGACGTGGAGGATTTTATCTCCGCGATTGACGATGCGAGAGACGCAATCCGAGTTAGGGAAAGCGATCTCGTGAAGATCCTGAAAGGGGTCCTCAAGGGGAACGCCCTCACGTGGTATCGCCACGTGGAGGTTTTCTCTTGGGAAGACGCGTGCCACGCCCTCCGTGAAAGATTCGGAGCGCTGGATTTCCAGCAGGCGTTGCACAAGGAAATTTCCGACCGCCGGCAAGGCGCGGAGGAAAGTGTAGGAGCGTTCATAGCGAATATGAACGGCTTATTTGGACGCACCCGACCCCTGTGGTCCGAGGAGAAGCAGCTAACGTACATCTACAACAATATGTTGCCGAAGTACATAGTTGGCTACACCCTCGGCCCCGCGTCGAGGTTGAAAGAATTGGAGAGGCACGCTTTACGTCAGGAGAAATTAATTCTCTCCGAGCTGACGTGGCGACCCCCTCCAAAACCAGAACATGCCCTGTGCCCAAGCTTCGCATACCGAGGCCTGAGCTATGTCCAAAAAAGCTCGAGCTTCGTGCATAAAGATCCGAGGCAGCACAGAGGCTATGAGAAGCCATCTCTGAGAGCACTCGAGATGGAAAGGCACAACGAGCCCACAGAGACTGTAGAAGTCATCTATGACGAGCTCGAATTGCAGGAAACTGAAGCAGCACACGCCTTGCAAAGTCGTGATGCTCCTTCAGGGAGGGGTGGACGTGCTGGTTTCACCAGGCACTTATTGGTGTGTCGCAATTGTGACCGTGTAGGCCACACGTTCAGGTTTTACACCGCCGAACGAACCGTATTTTGTTACGGATGCGGTGCCAAAGGCGTGCACTTGCCAGAGTGCCCAAAATGCCGTCCAAAAAACGGGAAACCGGCAGCGTAAATGACGAAAATTCGTCTACGCCGCCGGAAATCTCGGAGAATTTGGAAAGAAACCCAGTGGAAGAGGCGGAAAATTCCTCAGAAACTGTAGGAAGGGAGATCTCAGGGCAGAATCATAGCCCAGAGGTCGGAAAAACTGCTGTACAAAGGGTAGAAATGCCCGCGGCAGTGGCAGAGGAGTCTCGAGAGGAGGGGAGAGTGGAAAAACTCTCTCTGGAATCCCTGACGGACCCCATTGCATTGTCATCGCCGGAGATAAGCTCTGATCTGGAGTTTATCAATCAGGCGATGAAAGAAGGAAAGACATTTGCCTTTCACGTGAATATCGAAATTCACGGAAGGAAAATACGCGCTCTAGTGGACTCAGGGGCATCTCGTACCTTCGCTGGAGAAGCGGGGATCGAGCTGCTGAGCGAGCTAGGTATCAGTGCGAGAAGAATACCACTGAGAAGAGTTCTAGTGGCGAATAGCCAACTAGAGGTGGTAAAGGAGGCCTCTAAAATACCTCTGGTATGAGGGGGAAGACCCGTCACGCTTAAAATTCTTTGGATGGCTTCGCTATCCGAGGATTTCATACTGGGATTGGACTTTTTGAGAGAAGCACGGATGGTCATTGACTTCTTTGACCAATCCTGGTTCTTTAGAGACAAACCTGACGAAACATTCAAGTTTGTCTCGGTGGACCGAGCCTGCCACATAACTGTGTGTAACGGCTTGAGGGTACCTGGAGAAGAGCAAAATAGCCAACTCCAGAGGCTCCTGGATGAAAAAATTCCAGTGCATGAAGGAAGTCCACCGATTTCCAAGCTACCACCCCACAAGATTGACGTGGGAGGGCACGAACCTATCCGACAAAGGGTCAGAGTCGTGTCCGAACACATCAAACTGTCAATGTGGAAGGAAGTAGATGAGATACTCCGAGGTGGAGTCATCAAGCCATCCCAAAGTGACTGGAATAGTCCCGTAGTGATGGTCAAGAAAGCCAGCGGAAAATATCGGTTTTGTATCGATTTCCGCCGGGTTAATGAAGTAACGAAAAAGGATGCTTACCCGGTTGCAAATATGACCGGCATCCTTGATGAGTTACGACAGGCCAATTATATCACGACACTCGACTTGAGTGCCGCGTATTGGCAAATACCGTTGGCGGAGGACTCGAAAGAGATCACTGCCTTCACGGTGCCGGGAAGAGGGTTTTTTCAGTTCGAACGCATGCCGTACGGACTGACAAATGCACCCGCTACCTTCCAAAGAGCCCTGGACAAATTAATCGGTCCAGAGATGTATCCCCACGTGTTCGTGTACTTGGATGATATCATTATCGTCTCAAGGACATTTGAGGAACACCTCACGTGTTGGGAAAGGCCCTCGATAAAAGGAGAGATCACGGTCTCACAATAAATCGAGAAAAGAGTATTTTCTGTCGTTCCGAGGTGAAATACCTCGGATTCGTCGTAAGCAGTCAAGGACTACAAGTCGACTCAGAGAAAACATCGGCAGTCGTGGATTTTCCCGTGCCGAAGAATCTGAAACAGATTCGTCGTTTTCTGGGAATGGCCTCCTGGTATAGACGATTTATACCGGAGTTTGCAACCATAGCTCAACCGCTGACACTTCTGACCAAGAAAAATCAGCCGTGGTTCTGGGGAGAAGAACAGCAAGACGCCTTTGAAGCGCTGAAAAAGCACTTGACGTCGGCTCCAACTCTTGCTTGTCCCGATTTTTCACTGCCGTTTACCCTGCAAACGGATGCGAGCAGTGTGGGACTTGGGGCTGTACTCACGCAAGTACAGGATGGACAAGAGCGAGTTATAGCTTACGCTAGTCGCTCATTAACAGGCCCCGAAACAAAATACACCGTAACTGAGCAGGAATGCTTAGCCGTTGTGTGGGCCATTATGAAGTTCCGCTGTTACTTGGAGGGCTACCCCTTCACAGTAATAACGGACCATAGCGCCTTAAGGTGGCTTCATAATATGAAAGACCCGGCTGGAAGGCTAGGGAGATGGAACCTCCGGTTGTTAGAGTATGATTACAA